CCAGTTGAAACTCCTGCTCCCTTGTACCTCTGTACCTCTGCACACATGGTTTTGTCTGTGTGCAATGTCCTCCCCCATCTTGTTAGTGGCTCAATCCCTTACTCACTGTCAAGACCTTGCTCAGATATCATCTCCTCCAGGAAGCCAGCCCTGGCTGAGCTTCCTGGCTGGGAGAGAGGTCCATCTCCCATAGGTGGATTTACCTCTATCTGGAGAACCTGGGTGGTGCAAACAACCTGCTTGGCTGCTGACTAAAAGATTGGAGGTTCGAGTCCACCCAGAGGCCCCTTGGAAGAAAGGCCTGGCAAAAGATCAGCCATTGAAAACCCCATGGAGCTTGGTTCTCCTCTGACACATATGGGGTTGCCAGGAGTTGGGGTGGACTCCATGGCAACTTGGACTGGTAGGGTAACACACGTCTGTCCCGTCCTCACTACACTGAGGGCTTGTAGAAAGCAGATTCCTCTGAGTTCCCAGGGCCAGCCCAGAGGCCAGTTCAGCCAATGTCTACTTGTGCCCTCTGTGAAGGAAGCCCTGGCACCAGTGACAGGCATAACCCTTGACCTGGAGGACACAATGAACAGTGGAAAAACTCCGAGGGCAAAGGTCAAACGGCATAGTGTAAAGGGCATCCCTCACATATCCGAGACTTGTTTGCAAAAGGCTCGTGTTATGCTCACACCACCCCTCCACAGGGCAGACTCTGCCCACATCTTATGGGAAGGTGCCAAGTGGGCCTTAAAAATGGGCAGCTTCTGGGAGGACTCTAGATTCAAAGGCCATACTGGACTTCAAGGAGGCAGGGAGGTACTGCGGTTAGGAGCACAGGTTTCAGACTCAGACACACTCAGCCATGCTAGTCTCTGGGAACGTGACTCTGCCTCTCTGGGCCTCATTTTCCCCATCTGTGAAACAGACACAATACTGATCTCATGCTTGCGAGGATTAAATGAGAAAGCAAGTAAGATGGGCATCTGGTGCAGTCCAGTAAATGGTCACTGATATCATTACTACGTGGCTCAACAGAATTATATTTCCTCTGAGCTCTGCCCTCAGCGACCTCAGCTCTAGGGCCATTTGGTCATCCCCAGTGCCCTGCTTGGACGCCAGCTCCCTATGCCATGCTCTGATGGACTCTACAGTGTGGGCCCAGGCCAGGGAGGCTCAGAGAGGCTGGGACTTGACACCAGATATTTTTCCATTCCATGCCCAGGGCTCTAACCCCTGCACCCTGGGAATGAGACACGTGACCAGATGTCAACTAGTAGAGGCGGGCATGAACATCAGCCTTTTCTAAGACAACTGAGTCAGGAAACCCCGTTGGAAGATGAATTGTCATAAAAGGTACCTTCTCGCTGGTGACAGTGAGTCCTCTTGGTCGGTCCCCACAAAGGAACCTGGGTCATGCTCCTACTCAGGCAGCCTCTCTGCAGTTTCCTCTGCCTGAATGTCTGGCCCCACTGGAGGGGACATTTTTTGTTTTGTGACCCAGAGGCCATTTCCCCTTGTTGGGTAGTAGTTCCCTGACTTCCTCGGGGACACCCCCGCCCCCCCATTAGTCTACACGCATCAGAGTGATGCTGATTCTACTTTTAGCTCCTGTCTGGCCCAGAGTGGCCAGGCCATGTGACCCAAGATGGGCCAGGGATATGTTTGCTTAAACTGTTGGGTGCTCTCTTCCCCTGAGGTCAGTGATCTGTTAGGTACGGCCTGAGCTCTGGCCACCACAGCAGGACATCCTGCCTGGACACAGAGACAGCCAAAAGATGGAGGACGACAGGTCCCTGCTGACACTGTGGTCCCTAGATCCAGCCACACCTGAAGCCAAATACCCTCAGACATCTCAGTTCTGTTTAATCAATGTTCTTTTCCAATAATCCATCTTGACTTGGGTTTCTGTCACCTACAACTAAATCTGTTCTGACTAAAACAAGATCTCACAGCCAGTAAGTGGAGGAGTTTGGATCAAAGCCCAGCTCTCTCTGACTCTAAAGCCCAGGATCTTAACCACTATATTAAACTGGCATAATCTCATCCTCTAATCTTTATGCCAATTCCTAGCAGCCACCATGCCTATCAGTAATCCTACCAGCTGACATTTGCTCAGTGCTTGACAAGCCAGAAACTACTCTCATATACATCATTTTTTTTAAAAAGTCACAATACAATTCACATACTATCAAATTCACCCTTTTAAAGTGTACAATTCAGTAGTTTTTAGTATATTCATGTGGTTATGCAACCATCACCACTATCAAATGCCAGAACATCTTCATCACCCCCAAAAAGAAACCCTGTACCCGTTAGTAATCAATGCCCATTCTCTTCAATAATGTTCTATAGTTTTTTTTCTGTCCAAGTCTTACACGTCTTTCAGTGCTGATACTCCTAGGTTTTCTCCCACAATTTATTTATTAGCCTTATTGAGATATGATTCACATATGATAAAATTCAGTGATTTACAAGTGTACAATTCAAGGTATTTTAGTATATTCACAGGGTTGTGCAGCCAGCGCCACAATCTATTTTTAGAACATCTTCATCACCCCCACAAGAAACCCTGTACCCATTAAGCAGCCATTCCCCATTCCCCTCTCCCTGTATCCCCTAGCAACCACCAATCTGCTTTTTGTCTTTATGGATTTACCTCTCTGGGCACACATATAACTTTTAACTCCACAGGAACCTTGGAAAGGAGTCACTAGAGAGAGAACTAGACTAGTAGAGTGGCTAAGAGCTGTACTTTGGCGTCCGCCTGCCCAAGTGCAGATCCGAGTTCTGACACTTACTAGCTTGTGCACGTGTAAACAAATTTCACCTCTCTGAGCTTAGGTTTCCTCATTTGTATCACTTTACAAGCTTCTCGTGAGGATTAAATGATTACTTCACCTAGATGCTTGGCAGGAGCAAGCCTAGAGTCAACACTTTGTAAACGTCAGCTATTTCTATCAATGTCACCCCATGTCACCAATGTGCACACTCAAGTGCAGAGGAGTTAAGGGACGTGTCCAAGGCCACACAGCTGGCAGTGGCTCAGCCCCAGGTCTCCCGACTGAGTCCCCTGCTATTTCCATTACACCACACTGGCCTAACTGCTCCTCCGTGAAGCCTCCATCCTCCCCATTCTTGGAGCCAAGTTAATTCTGAAGAAATCAAGGCTACTCGCCAGGCAAGAGGGAGGGAGGCTGAATCATGAAATCATCTCACTTTGGGGCATCACAGCCCCATACGGCTGGCCTCCCTGCCTCCTCCTCAGGACCAGCTGACTTCGGCTGGTGCGGCCCTGCCCTAACCTCTTCCCAGCTTTCTACTCTGGGGTGTGGGGACAAGGCTGGGTCGAGGATGTGCAGGACCTCTGGAATTCCACAACCTTCCCACTCCAGCTGCCCATCTGGGATTATTTAAAGCTGGTGAAACCCTGCCTTTAAATGGCTTTGCAAAGGGAGGGAAGTCTGGGGCAGCTATTTATGCTACAGCAAACCCCCAATTATTACCAATTATACTGAGTGGGCAAGAAAGCCTGACTCTTGAGTTCTGGTTGAAATAAAAAAGTTGAGTCAGAACAGGAGAGTGGAAGGAGTCAAGAGGCTCTGGGCCAGGGAGATGAGCGATCAAACCCTGGTTCCAGCCTTCCCAAACAATGTCACCCTGGGTGAGCCACCTCCGCGCAAAGGGACGGCAGATTATAGCTAATGCATACTGAGTGCCTGGGCTTTGGGGGAGGCAGATCTTCTTTAACGGTCACAATAAACATATGACAAAAGTGTTTTCATTCCCATTCTGTGGATGAAGAAACCGAGACTTAGAAACATTAAGTGATTTTGCCAAAGGTCACACCAAACTGAGATGTGAAAAGGTAAAGCTGGGATTTGAGCTCAGGCCATCCCTTTGCACGGAGATGGCTTGCCCAGGGAGACATTGTTTGGGAATGCTGGAACCAGGGTTTGATCACTGATTTGACCCCAGAAGCCATGGTCTTCGGTTCCAGGCTCTGCTGGAATAGGGATCGTGGCTAACACGTGTAAGTATCTTGCGCACTGCGGGCCCATGATGCTTTAGGGTGGCAGCGAGGAACAACATTCCCATACATGCTTCCACAGTCTCCTCCCCATTTCTCAGCCAACCTACTCCTCCAGATGCTGCTGCACCAATGACCTTCCACATCCTGGCCACAGATGACGTGGGGGTGGGGGTGGACTCCTGACCCAGGCACCTGGGACAATCTGATTCTCCCTCCTGGAAACTGCAATCAGCACCCAGGTACTCCAGTGCACTGACAATAGGGAAGGACACGGTGATGTGGGAATCAAGGTGTTGTTTGGGGGAAGCCCTTGAAGGGTTGTAGGTCAACGGGCAAGTGTAGGAAGCAAGTCCGCAGAGGCAGGCGGCAAAGTGAAGCAGGCTGGACGAGAGGTCCTGTGGCCTCACTGACAGACACTGGGGAGCTGCCGGGCCTCCAGAGGGTCATTCAGTCGCCAGTTCTGGGCCCTTTAGTTTTCTGCTCTGCCTCCTCCCATTAACCTACTCCCACCCCTCTCATGGAGCCTAAGCTGAGTGGACATTTGTTCTGCAGATGTAAATAATCCCTAGAATAACAATCATGTTCACAGCTATTCCCGACCTCCTCTGCTCTTTCTTGGAGGTGTGTCTGAACATACTCTACAAACGGTGCTCACCAGCAAACGCAATCATTGTTCAAAACACAAATTCAAAATCCATATTCCAGAGCCACACAGAAATGATTTCCAGATCACCCTCCATTCTGAAGTGGCCAACAAATACATTATGTGGAAGATATTGAATATCAAAGCATAAAGCAATAAAAAACAAAGCACATACTATGTCCCAAAAGCAACAGATGTCATTTTTAAGTCCAGGAAAATAAAAAGAACACTGTGTGTCAGCTGTGGGTGAGGCTATGGGCTCTGAAGTTCTAGGGGAAAGTAAGGCCAATGAAACCACTTCCCACCTGCAGCTCACCAGAGATCCTGCATTCTTACCTGGAGGTCAAAGAACTTGCTGTAGCGCCGGTAAATGGCCTCGGTGGAGCCACTGGACCACGTGACCCGGATGATGTAGACCTGCAGGGAGGGATGGAGGAGACACATGTTAACACCAACGGGGCCTTTCTGCCTCGGGGATGCGGGGTGCAGAGCACCAGATTCAGAGTCACAAAGACCTGGGTTTGCATTTCAGCTCTGCCACTGACCAGATGCATGACTTTGGACAACTGACTTGCTCTCTCTGAGCCTCAGCTTCCTCCTCTATACAACAGGTATATATGAAGAGAGGCAGGAGAGAGCTCTCTGAGCTTGGAGCCATCACGGTGTACCTTGAAGGACATGTAGTATTTAGACAGGAGAGGAGGGAGGTGACTATAGGTAGAGGAGAAATGATGGTGGAGCAAAGATCAGTTCAAGGGTAATGAGCCTGGCAGTGGTTTCCAAAGTGTTTTTAGCCAGCGTCTCTTTTCAAATGAGTTCTCACTAGAATGCCCACATTACAAACAGAAAAATGGACAGCAGCAGCTCTGGAGGGATTGAGGGAGGGGGTAGCTGGAGCCAAAGCCCAGTGTGAATACCATGGACTTACAAGAGAATATTCTCTGCGTGAGAAGAGATAAAAACTGGAAACACAAATCAGGACAAGATGCTAGGTAGCCTTGAATGCCAAGCTAAGGGGCTCACTAGGAAGGACCTCTGTATATCTAACCTGGATTTTATTTCAAATAAGCGTGGCAAAGAGGAAGGAGCGTGGGCTTGCTGAACCTCAGCTTTCTTATCTGCAAAATGGGGTCATCCAGCCCATCTCACAGAGCTGTTATGATGATGATAAGAGGCAAAGCTCTGAGCTTGGTGCTTGGTAGAGAGGAAAGGTCCAAGAAATTTTAGCACCCTGCTCTCTGATTTCCCTATGTCTACCCCACCCCTGAAAACTCTGGCGGCACCAGTGGTGAAGAGTTCAGCTGCTAACCAAGAGGTCGGCAGTTGGAATCCACCAGTGCTCCTTGGAAACCCTATGGAGCAGTTCTGCTCTGTCCTATAGGGTCGCCATGAGTCGGAATCAACTCGATGGCAATGGGTTTGGTTTTTTTTGTTTGTTTACCCCATCCCTGCTCAAAAAAACAGGCAATTTCAACACCAGGATTTGGGCATCCTGAGCTCACTTCTCTCCCTTGCTTGTGCTCACTGGCCCTGGACATCTCATGGAGTCAGAGAGCAGGCAAAGGCAGCCCTTAGGAGGTATGAGTCGGCCATCACCTCAGAAAGCTGACGGCCCTACAAAAAGGAAGCTGTGTCTCCAAAGCCACCTGAACAGTCACAGTTAGTTTTATTAAAAAGAGGGCTTCAGATCTGCTTCTGTAGCCCTCAACCCTACTGCATGGAGATTTTCAATGGTTACCATTCATTCATTCATTCACCCTAGAACATTTATTAAGCACCTATCACGTGCCAGGCCCTCTGCCATGTTTAGCAAGACAGACTCTGCCACGTGGAGCAAGTCTGCCCTCAGCGAATGGAAAGATAGGCAATGAACCAGCAAACAAGCAAATAAGAATATGACCATAAATTCTAAGTAAGTGCTAGGAAGAACACCCAAGCCTACTCTTGGCAGGGAAGGTCTCTCTGAAGAAACAACCTTTGAACTGAGCCCTGAATGATGAGGAGCCAGCTGAGAAGAGGGAAGGGTGCTCCAGGCAGAAAGAAGAGCGTGAACAAAGATGCAGAGGTTGGAAAATGCTCGGCATGTCTGCGGAACAGAAGACTATTGTGGCAGGACAGAGCTCAGAGGAGGGGAAGATGAGGCCGGGAGGTGGGAGCGGCTGGGTTATGAGGGCTTGCAGGCCACGTAAGGAGTCTGGATTTTATTCTATTAAAGAGTTTTAAGGGGTGGGGAGAGGTGTATGACGGGATCCAATGTCTTTTTAAAGAAATATTCATATATATTCAAATATTCATATATATATATTCCCCTGGCTGCCATGTGGAAGATGGTGTGAAGAGGGTCAGGGACACCAGTAAAGAGGCTTTTGTACAACTGAAGGGAAGTTAAGAGGTGAAAGGGACCACCAGTAACCAGCTGCTGTCGAGTCAGTTCTGACTCATGGCGACCCCACATGTATCAGAGTAGAAATGAGCTCCATAGGGTTTTCAATGGCTGATTTTTCAGAAGTAGATCACCAGGACTTTCTTCCAAGGCACCTCTGGGTGGACATGAACCTCCAACCTTTCGGTTGGCAGCTGACTGCATTAATGATTTGTACCACCCAGGGACTCCGAAAGGGACCACAGAACTCAGCTAACCCAATGGCCTCACCTTCCAGATAGGTAAACTGAGGCCCAGAAAGGGTAAACACCTTACTAAAAGGTCCCCGTGACTGGGGATGTTGAAGCAAAGTGTGGACGACTATCTGTCAACGGCGTTGCCAGTGGGGATTAAAAAACAAGAAAACAAAAACAAAAGATCATCAGGGATTTTTTTTCTTAAAACCAACAGAAAGCATACTCCCATAAATGGAAAAACAATATTCTGCTTACACAATTCATTCCTGATCTCTTGTTTACAAGTTTGAAAGTTCTGTACGTACGGTACAAGGATTCTGCAGCAAGCCTAATTAGTTTATTGGATTCAGTAACTGAACGAAATTCTGATGCCAGCATTTTTAGGCACAGATTGAACTTTTTAAAATGAGAACTGTCCTAATGCAGGTCTTTGGCCTCACCCAGGATTTAGGGGCTGGTGAAAGAACAAGAGTGCTGGGTTCTAACGCCAGCTCTGCTGCTACTGACTCACAAGTTAACTAACCTCTGACCAAAGTGTCCTTCTCCCTAAACAGAGACAATAATCTCCCTTGAGGATTAACGATAACCAATGAATGCAAGAGGCCTTGCCCAACGTCTGCTCATCAGGCACCCCTTTCCCTTCTTTTGGTAAAGTTGTTTTTGTGTGCTGCCGTGACGATTCTGACTCACAGTGACCCTAGAGGACAGAGTAGAAGGCCCCCCAGGGCTTCCTAGTCTGTTATCTTTATGGGAACAGATCAGCAGGTCTTTTCTCTCGTGGGGTGGCTAGTGGGTTCAAACCTCCGACCTTTCAGTTAGCAGCCAAGAGCTTAACACTGCACCACGAAGGCTCTTTTCATTTGGTAACAGTGCCCTGATTTCTCTTGAAGAGTCACCCCTTTCTTTCCCCTAGTCTTTGTGATGGGGGTGGGGGGTAGGCATGTGTGTCCCAAGGCCTGGCCACAATGATTGGCTCAAGAATGGGCATATGACCTAAACCAGGCCAATGATACTCCAATTCCAGGACTTTTGATGGCGCTATCAAGGAAGAAACACTTTTTCCCACTGCAGTGGCTAGCTGGGAGGAGAAACAGGGAGTTCCCAGATAGAGAGTACCTGCCACGCAGAAGAAAGCAGAGTTAAGAGGGAGAGAGAAGGACTGCGTGCTTATGACATCATCTGAACCCCTGGATCCAGCTCAAATTCTTGGACATTTCATTGACTCGAGCCAAAACTTTCCCTTTCTTGCTTAAGCCAGTTTGAGTTAGTTTCTGTTACCTGCAACTAAAGCAATTCTAGCATATTCGATCTTGGCTTTTAGATTATATTCTAAACCCAAGTAATGCTCAGTGGCTTGGCATTAAGGAATTAAAAGCAGACTTCCTGCAGAGATTTACATACCCCAAGTCATGCTCCCTTGGAATGACTCTAAAGGTGTCTCCATGATATAACCCTCAAAACACATGTTGCATATCCAAAAAAGGATACTTTTGTACCTAGACTATATAAAAACCAAAACCCTTTGCTGTCGAGTCAATTCTGACTCATAGCGACGCTATAGGACAGAGTAGAACTGCATCATAGGGTTTCCAAGCTGGTAGATTCAAACTGCTAACCTTTTGGTTAGCAGCCGAGTTCTTAACCACTGCGCCACTAGGCCTACATAAAGAACTCTTAAAACTCAAAAATAAGAAAAAAACCAACCCAATTAAAAAATGGACAAAAGACTTGAACAGACACTTCATCAAAGAGGACATATGGGTGGCAAATCAGCACGTGGAAGATGTTCAACATCACTAATTAGCCATTAGAGAAAAGAAAATTGAATCTATGATGAGATACCACTACACACCTACTAGAATGGCTAAAACAAAAAATACTGACAATAACAAGTGCTGATGAAAACGTGGAGAAACTGGAACTCTCATACATTGCTGGTAGGAATGCAAAATGGCACAGCCACTCTGAAAAACAATTTGGCAGCTTCTTATAAAGTTAAACATACACTTAACACATTACTCAGCAATCCCACATACTCACCAGTATTTACCCAAGAGAAATGGCAACTTATATCTACACAAAAACTTGCACACAAATGTTTATAGAAACTCTATTCAAAACTGTCAAAAACTGGAAACAACTCAAACGCCTTTCAACAGGTGAACAGATAAATTGTGACACATCCATACAATGAAATCCTACTCAGCAATAAGAAGGAATGAACTACTGATACACACAACAACTTGGGTGAATCTCAAAGGTATATGCCAAATGAAAGAAGTCAGTCTCAAAAGGTTACGTACTGTATGATTCCACTTACATGACACTGTCAAAATGACAAAACTATGGCGCAGTGGTTAAAGCGATCGACTGCTAACCAAAAGTTTGGCGGTTCGAAACTACTAGTGGCGGTTCGAAACCTCTAGTGGCTCCAAAGGAGAAAGATGTGGCAGTCTGCTTCCGTAGAGATTTACAGCCTTGGAAATGCTTTGGGGTTGCTGTGAGTCGGAATGGACTCAATGGCAGTGGTTATAGAGATGACAGACACTAGATTGTCAGGGTTAGGGGTAACTATAAAGGGAGAGAATGAGGGAGTTCTTTGGGGGTGATGAAACTGTTCTGTATCCTGATTATAGTGGTTACATGAGTCTACACATGTAACATGGGTCTATACATGTAAAAATTCATAGAACAGTACACCAAAATTTCTTACTCTATGATAAAACAAAACTGACTTTCAACAAGTCAATTAACCTCCTTTAGAAAATGAATCACTGGACCATTGCTGTGGT